TAGAAACAAGCAGGCAAGTATAAATCTGGGCTTCTGCCTCACACTTCAAACATATTAGTCCATGTGGGGAGGAAATGGGCAGCTGGATGATTTGTTTTTAGAGAGGAGAGGAAGACAGTTTTTAGAGAGGAGGGAAGAAGGGATGAAAGGAGGGAGGGAGGAATGAACATACACACACAAACATAAGCCAGATTTTGTCATTAAACTCTGTAATATAGATGTGCCCATCTGTCAGTATATGACAATCTGGATTTACACATATGCATAATTGGAGGTGGTTATTTGTTCTACCAATAGGTTCATGAGGAGCATGGCTCACAGGAGGCTAAATGGTCCCCTGGATAACTTAAAATGGTTTAGATTGATATAATCAATTATAATACACATTACTAACAATTCTTTTTAAAAATTGTCTCATTTTTTCTTTAAAAAATTTTTACTTCAAGTTCTAAGATATATGTGCAGAACATGCAGGTTTCTTTCATAGGTACACATTGTGCCATGGTGGTTTGCTGCACCTATCAACCCATTATCTAGGTTTTAAGCCCCACATGCATTAGGTATTTGTCCTAATGCTCTCCCTCCCCTTGCACACCAACCTGACGGGTCCCGGTGTGTGATCTTCCCCTGTGTCTACATGTTCTCATTGTTCAACTCCACCTTATGAGTGAGAGACCATGCAGTGTTTGGTTCTCTGTCCCTGTGTTAGTTTGCTGATAATGATGGTTTCCAGCTTCATTCATGTCCCCGTAAAGGACATGAACTCATTCTTTATGGCTGCATAGTATTCCATGATGTATATGTGCCACATTTTCTTTATCGAGTCTATCATTGATGAGCTTTTGGGTTGGTTCCAAGTCTCTGCTATTGTAAATAGTGCTGCAACAAACATACGTGAGCATGTGTCTTTATAATAGAATGATTTATAATCCTTTGGTTATATATCCAGTAATGGAATTACTAGCATAATTATTCTTATTAAAGAAAAGAATGACTTCCAAGGAATATTTGAGAAAGGTGTCATGCTCATTCCTGGTTGGCTTTCATTCCCCCAGCATTCCCCCAAGACAGAGCAAGGGAAGGGTCAGCTGGGGAGAAAAGGCCTCTTCTCCGAGTCTCCCAGAACATCCCAGTGTTGAATGGAAGAGGGGCCCAGAGCAGTCATAGGAAAGGGAACCCACTGACATAGGGACAACAGTGACTATCCCGCTGGGACACTTCCCTGATGTCATAACCCATTTATGCCTGAGGTTGCAATGTTTTGAATTTTTGCAATCAGACCTTGGCAATGACCTTGAGCAATAGGATGTAAATAACTCCAACATGCTTAGCATTCCAATAATGGGACACTAGGCATAAATGGATTTTAAGCAGGTAGCCAGGAGGGACTTCATCATTGACTTCCCTGACATGTGCAGCTATAAATCCCAAAAACCCTAGAAAGGTGGCAGGGGGATACCCTCTTTCCCCCAGATCTAGCAGAACAATATCACAAGCATCTTCCCTGGACCAAAGAGGAGGACTGAATGACTGTTTCTCATAAAAGGTGGCTTGACTATTTTTTTGACAAAGTGTTTATTTCTGCATGTAATACAAAGTTTATGGATAAGCATTTTGTCAAGATAATAAAGCAACACATCCTGGCCTTAGAAATTCAGTAGGAAGTAAATCTAAATTAGATTCCACCCCATAGGGTTTAGACACTGAAGTATTTAAAGAAAGAAAAGAAAAAAAATACCTTCTCTAATACCAATTCATTTGCAAGGTGACCCGAGGCAGGAATTTTAATGACAAGAATGTGTAGTCATGCTTAAGTATGGCAGGTTCATGGGTCCAATTTCTGTAATTAAATCATAACTGACAACTGGGATGGGTAAGAGAAGAAGGGAAAATAAATGTAATCCTGCTTAATAAAAGGTACCAGACTATGATGAAATCTCACTCATGAATTGGTTTCAAAATCATTGAAACTTTAAAAAAATAGCAAATGCTCAAAACATTGCAAGCTTAGCTACGCACTTCAAGGAACTTCCTTGAACAACACAATAATTGTACAATGTGGCCTGTTGTTACCCCACAGAGCAAGAAACTGAGCCTTGAGCGCTTGAGGCAGTGCTGTGAATGCAGCGGCCCAGCACCCAGCCACTCTGCCCGCCGGCCTCTCGGGGAGGAAGAGTTCATCTTTAGCTTAGATGTCAAGACAACAAATCTGCCATTTAGATTCTTTGTCCTTCACTTAAGAACAAGTCCTAATATTTTTAAGCAATAAGTGTATAGCCAAAAATGAATGACTTAGAAATATAAATGAGAAAATTCCATGTCAGTCTTACAGAATATTTGAAGAGAAATTTTCTTTGTACCACATAGACAGCAATCAAGTATAGCTTAGTTTGTTACATATTGCTTAAGTGAAAAAAAAAATTTCAATGTTAGTGTAATTCTCAGCCACTGGAGAAATATCAGCTTTTATTAAGTTAATATTTCTTGTACCTAAGTAAACATTCCTGTCTGTTCTCACAAGCAACAAATAAGTAGATATTCCTTAAAACTCAGCATGTCTTTCTTTGGATAATCACCGAGCAGTTACAGAACAACTGGCCCCATTCTACATCTGACACCAGGGATTTCTGACTCAATGCAATTTTATACGTCTCCACCCGTGAACCAGTTCCTGTGCAAGCACTGTCTGTCGGCCCCCAGAGCGGGGAGCAGGACAATGCCCAGCGTTCCTCCTCAGAGTCGTCTCTGTTAATGTGGAAGAGAAATGAGGGACACATCCTTCTAGAAATTGTTTTGGACAACAGAAATAATGCCATTTTAAAAAATCTACCTTTATGCAAGAGAGGAACTAATTCTGTGTTCAGGAAGTGGGATTAAAAAATAAAAGAATAACAAAACTATTGGTTTTGCTTTTAAATATATATATGTATGTATTTTAAAGCCCTTCTGATGATTCCCATATAAGTCTTTGGGTAAGGTGCAGGTGTGGCATGCTTTGAAACTTACCCAGACAGAAAGAGTAGAGGTAAATTTACTGCCAGGATATATTTTGCACCATCATCTGGCTTGCTTTTTTTTTTTTTGAGACAGGTTCTCACTCTGTCACCCAGGCTGGAGTGCAGTGGTACAATCATGGCTCACTGCAGCCTCAAACTCCTGGGCTTACAGGATCCTCTCACCTCAGCCTCCCCAGCAGCTAGGACTACAGGTAAGTGCCATCACTCCTGGCTAATTTTCAATTTCCCTGAACAGAAGGCAGAGTCTCCCAGGCTGGTCTTGAGCTCCAACACAAGTGATTCTCCCTCCTCAGCCTCTCAAATTACTGGAATTACAGAAATGAGCCACCACACCCAGCCATATTTTCCCTTTTGTATGAGAACGGAGAAGGTACCGGAAATGTAACCTTCACCTTGAACAGGGATGACTTTCTTCAGAGGTCATCTGGGTGAGTTTCAAAGGATGCCACACCTGAACCCCACCCAAAGACTTATATGGGAACCATTGGAGGGGCTTTAAAATGCTTCATACATATACATATATTTATGTATATGTATATGTAAATTTACATATGTGTGTGTGTGTATATATATATATATGAAAGCAAAAACAATCATTTTATTAATCTTATATTTTTGAATCCCACTTCCTGAACATAGAATTTGTTCCTTTCTTGCATAATTGTAAATGTTTCATGGCATTACTGATTTTTTTCTTATTTTTCTTAAGAATGAGACAGCAACTTCTCAATTTGCCCTGAGTCACCTACTCGAACTTTTTCACGGAGCAGAGAGCTAACATTCACTGGATGTGTACCATGCACCAAGCAACATAGTAAGCTCTTTACCTACTTACCTAATTTACTTCTCAGTAACTACTTGGATAGGCAAGTCTCTGTTTTACAGACAAAAAAAATTAAGGCTCAGAGAGTAACAGCCCTCTGTTCTGTGCCCACAGGCTGGAAAGTAATCAAACTGGCCTAACTTATCTGGCCAACCCTGAAGACTCATACAGCCCTATAACCCACTAGAAACCTCTTCGGTAAAGGGCTTGCTTTGTTTCCTAGTGAGAGCTGAATAGCATGCATCTTCGTTTCATCTAAACATGTGTTTTTCTTCTTCTTACAAATAATGCCTCATTTGCTATTTAAGTTTTTGAAGAAAAATAAAGACAAGAAATTATTAATTTAGTGTCCTTCTGATCTGCTGCTTGGCATCCTCTACCACAAAGGGCATCTGTCACCATAAAGTCACCTGTCATCAAAAAAAGACCAAGATAGAGGTAAAGACTGGACCATTAAAGATACCAGTAAGCTATGTGTGACTTAACATTAAAATAAACACACATTTGCAGGTGGTACATCCACCACCACGGCCAGAAGCAGCCCAGGAAGCTGAGTAACATGCACATCAGCCTCTCCTCTCACATGTGTAGGCAGGTCTGCCTGTGTCTGTCTTCGATTCTTACTCCAGTACTGTTATAAAAAGGCTTCTTTTCTTCTCTGCACTTCCCCTCCTTTGCTGTGTCCCAGACAATCCTAAGAATCCCAAATTGAATCTCATTCTCTGAGAAGTAGAATGCTGAGAGATGACACGCTTTGTGAGAATGTGATTCCAACCCCAATTTCTAGAACACAAGAGACCCAGCGCATCTTAAGACCAGGCACTTTTATACGCTCATCACAAAGAATGGGTGGGATACTTGTTTAAACATCAGAGAACCCAATCTCCCCTTTAATTCCCCTGCCAAGCTTGATTTCACTCCAGCCACTTTATCAAATGAATTTATAAAATAGAGCCCAACGAAATTACAAAAAAAAAAAAAAATTACACTCTATAAGCAAAACTTGTCACGCCAGCAACAAATTTCCCTTCTCTGCTTGCTACATAGTCCACCTCAAGGAAAACATTTGTCAAGTGGCTTTTTAAGTTCCCTCCCTCCATCTACTTTGTCCTTCTGGAAGAAATATGTTACTGACACAGGTAAGACATGTCATCCCTTACCTTTCTGTAAGTAACAAAATGGTGGTTAAAAGTCCTTGTCTCCCATTCAGTAGTTGAGACTCTTGCTGCGACTTGAGTATCTCTCCAGGGAACACTCCCTCTGCCCTGCTTTGCCTCCCAGCCTCTCCCTTCAGCTTCAGTCAAACATTAACCATGAACATTTTTTATTGATCTTCGGGAACCACTGGGGTATCATAAAAAGTGTCATTACATTTACCCTAGGAAAGAAATGGCTTTGTACCAAAAGAAGTGTAATTTACATCTAATCCATCTCAAAACAAACATCTACATTTTTCAATGTAGCCAAGTCAATGAAAAGACAAGAAGTTCCCGTGGAAAAGCTTTTTGTGGGTTCAACTATCTCCATGACACCAAAGACTTTTGTTCATATTTTGCTCCCCCAGCACTTGGCACAGGAGACTCGATCAGCAAATATTTGCGTAGATTCCATCTCGAACACCAAAGAAACAGCAGGGGCACCATTTCTGAGCAATGACACAGTTCATTGATAACCAGCCACAAGAGACGTCGCAAATGATTCAGAAGACATGAGGGAAGGTGAAATCTAGCTGTGCGTGCTTCTGAAATCCAAGGGTCCCTTCCAAAGTCTACGAGAAACAACTGATAGCAAATTTTTACCCAAACCCAAACCAAGTCCTTTTCCCCCCACAATTCAGGGAACAGAAGTACCTAGGAACAAGTTATTTTTCCCTAATCAAAATGAAGTTTTTGATTAACCAGTAAAAGACAATACCCTCAGATATCTCAAATCAAGGCTTCTTTTAGACCGATTCCTGATTTCCACACCTCGGTCACTCTGGGAATCCACACTGAAGGTGAGCATCCACATCATGTTCACGTCCAGTGTGTCACACTTGGCCCTGTTTCTGTGGACCTTCTCATGCTCATTTCTGGGCTTCTCCTGAGCTGGGGTTGTGATTTCCATTCCTTTCCAGGTGTGCACCTGGCAGAGGGAAAGCACAGGAGCCCAGCCTACTCTGTAGAAGGGCTCCCTCCTTTCCAGATTTCATGAGAAGGCTTCATGAGTGCTCTAAGCCACTGCGGGAATAAACCTCATTTATTCCGGGACACTGCAAGTGACACCATCCAGTTGCATGCCAGCAGTTAGCATCCTTGGTGGACTGGTGGGTTCTGCAAGGTCCCTTCTTCCTTTGTTCCATGGCCAGCACCACTCATTTCGGAGAATGAGGTTATCCAGGCTAAGCACTTCTCACATTCTTCACACCTCTGCCCTCCCATTAGCTGAATGAAGTGTGCTTGTTCTACAAAGTCAAATCGCTTCCACTTGCCACATGTTTCAGTTCCTGGAATCAAGGGAAGCATCTCATCACAAAGCACTGCTCAGAAAGAAGTCTGGATCTTCTTTGGAAATTTTAAAATAATAAAGTGCTTTTAAATTTGAGTTTCTTCAAAAATAAAATGCATATATATATATATATATATATATATATATATATACACCATTTATAGTTACTTGTTCCTGCATTTTAGAAACCCATTTTCATGCAAAAGTGAGTCATTGCTAGTTCAATGGACTTGCTAATAAGAATAACAGGAATAAGGAAAATGTAATTGACAAAGATTACTGATTTAATTTTCCAAAGCAGAGGAGATATGATTTATAGGATAAAAACAACCAAATGCCAGGCACAGTGGCTCACACCCGTAATCCCAGCACTTTGGGAGGCTGAAGCAGGCAGATTACCTGAGGTCAAGAGTTCGAGACCAGCCTGGCCAACATGGTGAAACCCCATCTCTACTAAAAATGCAAAAATTATCCAGGCGTGGTGGCAGGTGCCTGTAATCCCAGCTACTCGGGAGGCTGACTCAGGAGAATCACCTGAACCTGAGAGGCAGAGGTTGCAGTGAGCCGAGATTGTGCCACTGCACTCCAGCCTGGGCAACAGAGCACTACATCCAAAAAAAAAAAAAAAAAAAACTGAAACTGAACAAGTGAAAGGACTTGGGCTTGTGCTTTTGACTCACAGCTTCATGTTGGTGAAAACATTTCAACACTTTTGTCTATAATCATGTTTTAAGAATTCCTCCAATATTATCCCTAGAATATACATAAATAATTTATGGACATTTGTTAGTAAGAAATTAGATCTAAATAGTCTCCCAGACAGGCAAAAAAGTTATGAAAACTTGGAATTATTCCTAAAAGTCAAAGTATGTTATATTCCTAATATTTTGATTCTTTTTCTATTTTATTTTATTTTTGAGACAGAATCTCGCTCTGTCCCCAAAGCTGGAGTGCAGTGGCACAATCTCGGCTCCCTGCAACCTCCACCTCCCAGGTTCAAGCGATTCTCCTGCCTCAGCCTCCAGAGAAGCTGGGATTATAGGTGCCCACCACCATGCCTTGCTAATTTTTTGTATTTTTATATACAACATAGAACCTATCTCTACAAAAAATTTAAAAATTAGCTGGTGTTGCCTAGGCTGGTTTTGAACTTCTGACCTCAGATGGTCTACCAGCCTTGGCCACCCAAAGTGCTGGGATTACAGGCATGAGCCACCACACTCAGCCTATTTTTATTCTTTAAAACTCCAAATGGAATCTATGAGTGCTCAATTTTTCCATTTTTCAGGCACTTGCATTTTATATGTTCTTTATGTGTTACTTATTACACATTCAGAATATTTTATCATGAGTCCATCAACACATAAGCATCACTTAATATAAGTGTAAAATAATATTTTAATTACTTAATATCTGTCTTACTCTCGTTACCCTGATGGTGGCAGGAACTTTGTCTTCAATTAGCACTCAATAAGTGCTTCTTAGAACTCAACTCCATTCAGTAATTTAATTCAATAATTCTAAATAGTTATGACTACCTGCAGGCTCAACCAAGGCCAATAGGAACCCAGAAAAGCAAATTATTTTGAACTTCATGAAACCTAGAGTTCACAGTTTTTGTTCCACATTTATTTAGTGGAATGAAGTGAAACTAATTTTCTGCTAGTCATTATTTTTAAACTGAAGCAGAATCTTCATTAACTACATTTGCTGGCCAGGACAGAGTCCATTTTCTGATAAATTTAATCAAAACAGCTTCCACTTTCCTGTAGCTCTTATACTTTTTCTTTTTTGGAAACAGTGTCTTGCTCTGTCACAGGCCGACAGGCTAGAGTGCAGTAGTGCAATCTCGTCTCACCACAGCCTCGGCCCCTCAAGCTCACGCCATCCTCCCACCTAAGCTTCCCAAGTGGCTGGGACTACAGGCACACACCACCATATCCCATGTTTTGTAGAGATGGCGTTTCACCGTGTTGCCCAGGCTGGACTCCAACTCCTGGGGTCTAGAGATCTGCCCACCTCAGCCTCCCAAAGAGCTGGGAATACAAGCGTGAGGCACCCTGCCCGGCCTATACTTACTTTTGAGTTTGTTTGGGTTTGAGGTTTTTGTTTGTTTGGAGGCTTTTCTGTTGTTGGGTTTTGTTTTGGCAGTTTTGCAAACCAGAACACTTGAGAGAATTATTACAAGATTTAAAACTTAAATAACAAAATGAATCACTAGTTTCAAATAAAAAACATTGAATCACCAGGTGTGGTGGCTCACACCTGTAATCCCAGCACTTTGGGAGGCCGAGGCAGGCAGATCACAAGGTCAAGTGTTAAAGTCCATCCTGGCCAACATGGTGAAACCCCATCTCTACTAAAAATACAAAAATTAGCTGAGCACAGTGGCGCTTGCCTGTAGTCCCAACTACTCAGGAAGCTGAGGCAGGAGGATTTCTTGAACCCAGAAGGTGAAGGTTGCAGTGAGCCGAGATCCTGCCACTGCACTCCAGCCTGGGTGAGAGTGAGACTCCATCA